GAGGTTGTCGTACGGTACTATGTAAACCCTCATATCTTTGCAGGCTATTTGCATAATCAGATATTATGCAAGTGCTAAGTCCCAAATAATAAAACTGGCAGGATCAAACAATTAATTAACATCATCTCCAAAAAAATGTAGCCACACCGTAGGATAGTCTGGGATGTCACTGAGGTTCCTCCTCAGGATCTATGACATCCCCCACCTTCTCCTTCCTTTGGACTCTTGAAAATAAGTGTTCCGCAAAGTGTTCCGCTCACTTGATTTTCCTCATCCTAACTTGAAAACCTGAACCTTGAATTCTTGAAGACTAGAACCATTGATCATTATCGAGAGTTTTCTCAAGTGACTCCCGTCATTTGAGATGTAATTAACTATAGGGGCTTGCCTCTATAGGGAACTTGGAACCCAGATAAAATAAACCCTATTTAATCTTTGTATTAAATAGGGGAACTTGTCAATCATACATAAAAGGTTCGCAGACCAAACGGATGTCACAAATCTCTTAGTTTGCAGGATTGAATCTATCTCCGAGGTCTACACTTATCTTTCGGGAGGCTGTAGTATTTACATTATCAGACACGATTATGCAAACTATTGGACTAATGAGATTATTGATGAGATCCATTTGGTCTCATTTTTTAAAAATTAAAACATACTACTTTTAAAACTCAAACTATATATATCTTTTATACTTAAATTAAATCTCAAAAAATTATTTTCATATATTCATATTTTCAAATATATCGAAAAAGTTGACCGACACCAACATGTTGCTATAGTGTGGTCGAGTTTGTAGAAGATTTAACATGTGATTAGAGTGTAGTTTCAGTTTTGGTTTGATGAAAGAGATGGTGGTTTGTTTGAGGGTGATTGTAAACGATTAGAGTATTTGTTGTATGATGGGTTGTTTTGTTCTTAGCTGTATCAAGAGCTGGAGAGGTTTGTTATTTGGTTGTTTCAGTGCATACATTAATTTCTTCACTATGAGTACGAGTAGAAGGATTCCATGCTAAGTTTGATTCGGTTCTTATGGCTATTTGATTACTTGGTATGTTAGGGGTAGGTCACTAAAGATATAAAGGATGATTTCTTCATTATCTATGTGGGATCTTGTTGTAACGATGTAATTAACAAGGATTTTAATGTTGGTGAGGAATTGTAACCTAGTTTGTGCTTAGTAGACATGCTATAGAGCTCGTTTTTGTTTTGTAAAATTCTTGATCTATTGGAGGCTTGTAGGGTTCTTTCAAGTGTGTTGTAGATAGTGAAGGTCGTTTGAAGATGTAGTACATGAGAAATAATGGAGTTAGAGATTGTCGAGAAGAGTGCAGCTGTGAGATTTTAATCAATAAGCTTCCAGATACTGTGTTCAGTATTTTTTGTCTGTTGTCCATTTTCTTGTGAGATAAACTCGAGTGAACAATGTGTAGTTTCATCTAGAAATGATTGAAATCCTTTTGCTATGAAAACCCGAATAACCTGTGCTTTCCAGATTGGATAGTTGTCATTTGTAAGGGGAAAGGTGGAAATGGTTTTGATGTGTGACATGAGAAATTTCAAGGGTATTGGGATGAAGGTTTCTGTCATTGTTGAAAGGTTGGAGTTCGTACGTTGATTGGATTGTGCAGAGTTGGTAGTAGAGGTGGCCATGGTGGGAGGGAGAATTCTTGCTTGATCTGGTTAGGGACTGAAAGATAGATAGAGATTAGCTCTCAAAATATACAAATTAGTTACTGATCTATGGTGAGAATGAAGTTTGTTGCTGGAGATGTACTGTCCATTTGCTGAATGTGATGTCAATATGTTGTAGGTCCTATGATTGTCTTCAGGTATGATCTGTTAAAGCGTAGGGTGTTTGACATCAATTTTTATTTATATTTTTTGCTTTTATTTTAAAATATAGTAAACAAAGAAAAATGTGTGTTTATTTATTTTTAATTGTTTTATATTATATTATTTTTAAATAAAATTTGAAAAATTTTAAAATTATTAAAAGAAGTAAAATTTGTTTTTTTGTGCTCTTAAATCATATTTTTGAAAACCAGCTGATCCCGATCTTGATCTCTATCTTGTCGCCTATCTTAAAATTTTACTTGGCATATAAATAGCCATGGATTCATTTTTTATTTTACCAATCTAATTTATGCATTTGATTATGTTTTGATAGATTTGGAATCTGTGACTCAAAAACTTGGAGTTTGTTTCATACTAATGTTTTAGCTATGCTTTATAGGGAAACTAAACATACATAATTTGTAGCCAAGTCGTAAATTCTCAACAATCATATATTGAAGTCATATTTCTTTCTCTTTGGTTCTCATGACATGGGGATAAGATACATCACTGAAAACACAACAAAAGAGCTGAATAAATATGTACAATTAAGAAATGTGTTCAGCCCACTTAGGGCTCATTGGATGAACTTCTTAGATTTATCAAATGAGATCGAAATTGGTTAAATGCTACCACAAGTCGAGTGATTACATTTAAAGATGTTTGGTCTAAGTTATATAAAGTATTTATTTGATAATCTAATACATCTAAAGCTTATATTTGTTAGATATAATAATAATAATAATAATAATAAATTTTGCTAAATAATATGCAGGTTATTAAAATTACAAAGATATTTTACAAAAACACATGCCCAATATATGTCTCTCTGTGTCATATTTAAGTTGGTACCATTGCAACAAGTTGTCTTTAATATCTATCCACCAAGAAGTGCAAAGCTTACGGATTTCACAAGTTTATTTAAACTAATAGACCCAAGAAAAAAATGTCTTGACCTAATGTGTTAGGCTTCCCATATTGATCCTCCATTTATAAGCTCTTATCATGGTGTAACATTATCAAAAAGGATATAGGCTGAATGTATAAGATCCCTAGGGTCTCGGGTTCAATGCACATGGGTGGATCACAAACACACTTTGTTATTAAAAAAAAAAAAAAAGATATAATTAAAATATATAAATAAAAAAAGTAAATTAGAAATTCTAAGAAGTGTGTGTACAAAATATATAATTCATTTAGCCAAGATTACATAGACTAAATACTGAATATTTTGTAGAGGTTGAAACAATCGGAAGCTCATTTTTAATTTTGATAAATATGTAATAAGTGCTAAAGATTAGCTTGCTTCAGTGCCTAGGTAAATTGCTTAGGCAATTTTAAGCAATTATGAATAATTATCACCTAACCTAAGCATAGTAGAAGAGGGAATCTTCTGTTTAACTCATATACAAGTTTGCTATGATTTTGGATACTTTAATCTTCTAACTCAACCAAATGATTCACTAGCTAAGCCAACTTACCCCAAATGTAGTCTACATTATGTTCAAGTGTATAAAATCAATGATTGACATGTTATAAATAAATATAATAATTCATATATATAGAAGCATATACATATGATTTTCAAAGAAATGATCAATAATTACTAATTTCATACATAAAGTATACTTGTATAATATGTAGTCATGCAAAATGCCTAAGAAAGAAATATAAAGAAAAAATGCCATCTTTAAAGTGAAGCCATTAAAAAAAAATGATGATAATAAATCAATGATAGCTTAAAAAAAGGCATTATTGACCAAGCACATCAACTTTCGCTTTCATTTTAAATGTACACCAAATAATAAGAGAAGGCTCACTTAGTGTAAATCAAGATCAAAGATCAAGTTATTGATTGATCTTCCATTAAATCTATTATTTCTAAGGAATTCAGCAAAATTTAGACACTTCTTGGTGTATGTGTAAAAAAAAAATATTTAAGGGCCATTCTAGTAATTTTCATGAAGGGGTTTCCAATTTTTTAAGCCTATGATTCGGAGAAATATTTGCGTACATAAGATGTACGCAGAGCTGCGTACATCTTATGTACGCAAATATTTATCACACATTATGGAAGGTCTCAAAAAAGCAACAAAAAGGTGTCTAAATATGTATAGCTAAGAAAGGTGTAATACTTGACTTGTGGTAGCATTTAGCCATTTTTTTTCTCCTTAGATAAATCTAATATGTTCTTCCAATGAGAAGAAAAAATACACTTTTTAACATGATTCTTATCTAGAAACAATCAAATAAGCTCTTAAATCCATGTTAATTAGCTTATTTATTTATTGAGAATAATTTTTTTCACATAATATAGCGATGCACGTGCTAAAGCATTATCAAGAGAATTGTAGGCTTTGCACTTTCAACCTCTAAAATTTATGATGATAGTTCATATAAGGGACTCTTGAATGAACAAATATTACATTCGGACTCCTGACGTAGAGATACATTTTAGTCCAATGAAATGACGCCATAGAAAAAAAAAAAAAAATCATTTTAGCACAGGAGAGTATTTCTTTTCACGTTATTTAGGTATTATTATGGTGATATTCAAGTGTTATTGTGTTCTGGGAATATTCCTAGTGTTATAATAACACAATAACACATCAATACCACCACAATAATACCTGAATAACGCGGAATAACACACGAGGAACATTCTCACTTGTTATCGGGTCGGAACACAGAAAAACGTGCACATTTTTTTGAAGTCACGTGTCTACATATCAATGGAATCCGAACGTATCTCTACGTTAGGAGTCCTGATAGAATAATTTTCCCTCTTGAATGGACGGAAAGAGCCAAAAGGCATTATATATTTTTGCAAGTTAAAATATTAAAATTAACAGGTAAAGGGATTATTGGTGCGTTTCAAGCTTGGGCCAGACCTGCTCACAAGGCAGTTGCAGCCCAAAAAAATAAGCGATGAGCTGACATTCTGGGCCTGAAAAGGGTTTAGCAGCCCGGCCCAAAATGAATCAATTGAGATAATAGCTTTTTTTTTTAACACAGTAATAATAATTATATATACCATGCTATTCAATCCTCATCATGTTTTAAGATATTGTGTAATTAATTAATGTTGAATTATTAGAGAATCTAACAAATTAGGTAACAGTAACAGAGCATAACAGAAGTTTAAGAACTCTTTGAAACTTCAGTTGCTTGTCAGTAAACATGTAATATATATATGACTTCCTCTTCTTATCTGAAAACCAGCTTTACAAGCCTTACAATGAACACCACCTCCTCAAAAAGAACCACAAAAAACAAACAATAAAAATGCATATATTCCAATCAAGATGTGTTAGTGAAATTACATCTATCTATCTGTATATATGATGCTGAACTACTAAGCTTGGTAACTCTTAACACGAATATGTAATCCATTCGGTGCTTCCACTCTTGGAAATTTATGCATTGTTGCTACTCCAACTTCCTCCCATCTGTATCATCAAATTGCAGCATGTGTTGTTAGAGATGTGGCTCATCATTAGCAAATATTCCAAGAAAACAATATCAACACAACAGCAAGGAGACTATTTCTATGACTTTAATCTTATGTCGGTCCACAATGCATACAACTTAAAACAATTGTTTATATATTTGTTTAAGCCCTTGTCCTGCAACAATGACCAGCCCTCTGGCAACACATACAATTTTTGGTACAGTTAATACCTGTATCTGGTGACAAAATAGTGAAGGAATGTAGCAATCTCAACTGTTCCCAACTCCTTCCCAGGGCACAGTCTACTGCCTCCCCCAAACAGCATGAAATACTGGTGAGAATCTAGGCTTTTGTCCTGTTTATCATGCACAATTTTATTTACCAAAATTCAATCAACAGATAATTATCTGCAGATATCAATAATAACTAACCATCCATCTCCATGGATTGAAGACCAACGGCTCGTGATACAAGTGTGGATCATAGTTGATCTCTCTGGTGTAAACATATATTCTCCATCCTTTTGGAATTACAAATCCTGTGAGGCAAGAGAAAAGTACAGTAAGATTTCAGCACTCCAACTGGAAGCCCTCTATATGCAGAGTAGAGCGATTATTTCAAGCGAATTGGTGGTATTGTGGTGGTAATGTAGTGTTATTATAGTGAATATCATAACAATACCATCACAATACCACTAAATTCTTATCTATCCACATCTACCTATCCACACGTAATGTTTAATCCTATATGCAAGGATTTAGGAGCACCTTTTATTTCTATATCTTGAGTTGTTTTTCTCAAAACACCATTAACAACTGTGGCCAATCTCAATGTCTCAAAAACAACCTGCATCAACAAAATCATTATACCATATAATCGTTAAACTTATGAGTGGAAAATAACAAAAATGATGTACTTACAGCGCGAGTGAAAACCATTGATTTGTAATCATTCCAGTCTATTCCTTCCTCAGCTGACTTCCCTTTCCTAATCTCAAAATGCTCATTCTGCAATATAATTAGTAGTTCATTATTGAGAACCATGTTTGAGATGCTGAGAAATAAATTTCCAGCTTCAGTTTGATTCAAACGCTGGTAAACTTCTTACTCGGAGTTCTTGAAGAGCTTTTGGGTGGTCATGGAGGAATTTGACAGCCATCATCGTAGTTGTAGAGACCGTTTCATAGCCCGAATAAATAAGAGCAATGATTAAATCTATGATTTGTTCTTCAGTAAGTTTAGATTTCATACTATCATCACTCTTGAGTAGAAGATCAAGCATGTCAATCTGGGAGCACTCAGAAGTCATCCTCTTGGCAATTATCTCCTTTAAAATTTCAACAATCTTCCTTCTTGCCTAAAGATATTGGAGTATTTACGAATCAGTTAAAACACACACACAATCACACAATCACACAATCATGTCTTTAAAGATTGCATGCATTGGAACATGATTACAGAAATAATTACCTGAAAAGCGCGCCGATAATTTGTTCCAGGAAGATTGATGGGCAATGATAGAGTTCCCAGAACAAGCTGAAATACCTCAATTTTGAGGGCTTCAGAAACGAGTCCATTTTCAATGCCAGCAATCTGTTTCAGAGCTGAGTACAGTGCCATCTGTTTACCAGAAAGAATAATGCTTATCAGTTATATAAAAATAAAGATTACATTTATGTTTCAACTCTAAACATTTGTTAATTTTTCAGTAACATAAATATCATTTGCAGTTCCAACTTCCTTTTTCACCAGAGACAAAAGGAAACTTTAAGCAACAATCAAAAAGTAATCCGAAAATTTTAAAGGCTAAAGGCTTCACCAACCTCTTTTGTTTTCTCCTGGATATCAATAACTTTATCATTCCAATTACTAAGATGTGACCTCATGAATTCATCAATTATAGGAAGAAGGTGTTCTCTCAGCATGGAAGGATTGATGAGACCAAGCATGGCATTCCTCATAGACTTGTGAAGAGGACCAGTAACAGCAGCAATGTTACATTCCCCTAAAATATCCAGCATAGATTTTGGGTATCCAGGTACAAGTCCTTTGCTTTCATTCATTAGGATGTATCTGTTGATCTCCAGATCCATGCAGACTACAGTCGGACATCCAAGTATATGTGATTTGAACAAGTTTCCATACCTGTGAATTTTTTCAACAAATAAAATGTATCATTATAAGAATTTTTTCATAAAAGAAAATGCAAATTGAAGTTTAAAAACCATTTAATGAGAATCTAGAAAAAGGTGCAAGAAAAAGGCTTGTTGTACTTATTACATGTACAATGCTTCAAGTGCTTTTAGTGACAAAGCATAAGTTGTTTAATCAAGACAAACTGCTTTGAAAAATGCACACCCTGTCACCTTAACCAGCTCTGTATCTCACTGAAAGGCCAAAATAAAAGGGAAAATAGAAAGAGAGAGAAAGAGAGGCAGAGAAGCATGAACTTGAGTACAATGGCAAAGCAAACTAATGGGTTCAGAGAAGCAAGTCAACCTTGCTCTCTGTTTCTTCATGAAATCTGGTCCTTGCTTGAGGAACTCAGTGGTCTCCCCAAACAGAGGCCACCCCATTGTTCCTGGAGGAAGACCCTTCTTCCTATGTTTTACTTCATTCCATCTCAACAAACCACAACAGAGAAGAAGAAGGCCAAAAACCAGAGCAAGAGCTACTTGAAGTAGCATCATTCTTTCACCAACAGCAAGCCAGAGCGAGAGAGAGAGAGAGAGCGAGAGAGAGAGAGAGAGAGATCAAATTCTGGAATTAGAGGAGTTATTCCTGATTTATTCTCTCAAGAATATAAGCCTATATATAGGAGTAGCAGGGAATTTATTTACCTCGCGGCATTACAGTGGCTTTAAGATAGTAAATTCTCAGAACTGACTCATAAAAACATTTCAGACAGTGCTTACTTGTTTACATATCTAGCGCTTAAATTTGATTTTTTTATTTATGCAATACTTAAAGTCTTAATATTATAAAAAATACATTATTATCAATAAGTTTTAAAATTAATATTATATATATATCCTTCCATAAAAAAAATAATAGACACCAATTTGAAGGGGCTTCTTACGAGCGCATTTTCTGTCCGGACTCCTGACGTAACTCTTTGTGCGGCGTAGATTAGATTATTCCTAAGTTATTTTCAGGTTATTTCTGAGTTATTTTCAATAATACTGAAATAACCCAGAAATAACTCGCGGTCTTTTATTTTTGGGCTATTTCGGTATTATTAAAAATACTCAAAAATAATATGAAAATAACTCAGACAAAATTTCGGCCGCACGTAGAGCTACTTCAGGAGTCCGCACACAAAAAATTTTGGCTTCTTTATTGTTTTAGGTGATATGTTTCTACTTCTAAACCGGCTAACACATATTCATTCAAGGTATCACTTGCTTCACAATTTATTAATTACTAACATTAATATTAAAAATGCAACTTTTAATATTTTGAAAGAATTTAACTGTAAATTCTTGAACACTCCAAGTTTCGCAAGCATATTTTTAACAAGATTTAATCGTTAATCTAATTTGATTCTAACTAAACATAAAAAAGATGAAAATTAAATCCAATGCTCTGTTCACTTGAATCCGTTCCATCTTTTTATACAACATTCGGTCTCATTGAAGACGTAAATCTTCGGATTTAAAGATTTACGCTGTCGTTGCAGGTGCTATTCATTTTCATTACTAACTCGTCGGATATTCAAGATTAAATAAATCTTATTTAACGTAAATCCAACGCAACAGCCAAACACTGTTTAAGATAAGCAAAACTCAAATTAAAGACTCCTTCTAAACCTGTCATGACTGAATGAATGATGTTGAATCTTAATTTATCTACCCAAAAATTGGATTAGAATTTTCTTACCAAGGAAAATATCACAACTATTTAAAGTAAATTTTCAAAAATGCTGCAAAAAATATATAAAAAACACGTATAAATGCTTAAAACCACTGCTTAAAGCCCTTGCAACACGAACAATTGCAAAAATTTAAAATTTGTTGCAATGAAAATAACAATTATTTTTATGATCGTGACTTCTTATATAAAATACAATAATTTTTTTTTCTTTTTTAGTTGTGTGTAGGAGAACGAAGAGATGAGCATGTAAGGGACGAAAAAAGAAAATTGACGAGTTAGTTTTGGGCCAATTTTGTATTGGTGGGTCAACTCGTACCCGAGGCGAAAGAAGTAAAAGAGATTATTGTTTCTTGGTTGAAAAGTTACATGATGTAATGTTTAACTTATTACAACAAGAGTAAAAGCTCACAAGTAATAGACAAAATCTTATCTCAATGCATCATGTTATTTTCTAGTTTTTTTTTTATTAATTATGTATTGAAATTAGCGGTATTGAATTGGGTTGGCGGATCGGATATGGGTCTAATGGCAAATAGACCCAGCTTGAATCTACTTCCCGAACCCAATCCTAATATTTAATAGGCTGGAAAGCTCAACTTGATCCTGCGTTCAACCCGCTAAGCCAAACTCCGCAGCCATAACAACTATTATCAATTGAATTGGTCAATCTTAGGTCATTTTTGGGTTGACATATCGAATCTGAGTTAATTTTAAGTTGGTGAGTAAGTTTTAGACCAAATTTGTACTGGCAGATCAGCCTGCACCCGAGGCGAAAAGACTAAACAAATTATTATTTAGAACATGAACCCAACTCTAGAATTATTTGAGTCATTTCAAATCGGATTGGATTCAAATTGACATGTTTGACCAATGTTTGACAACTCGAAATGATTTTTTTCTCGTTAGAAAATCACGAAATTTCCAACATGTGATATCAAAGAAATGACCTACACAATCTTTTGAAGTTGTAGGAAAAACACTTATTAAACATAATTTAATTGTTTTTTTTTAAATTTTAACGTGTTGTAAAATTGCATTAATTTAATTTACAACAAAATGCATCATTATGCATGAAAACCGCTATTTGCATGCAAATTTCAAAATTGCATGTAGAGAGAGAGAGAAAGAGAAAGAGAAAGAAGAGAGAGAGAGAGAGAGAGAGAGAGAGAGAAGTCAAGATGCTCACAAAAAGCACATAGCGGTCAAAGCCTGGCTCTATAGTTAGGATAAATATAGGAGCTATGATACATATTTTGATGCAACGTTAAAAAGCGTGCAAAACATATATTTAAAATGTGATCAGATGCAGTCAAATTTATTCCCTTAATAATAAAAATTAAATTATAAAATGTGAAAATCACACATTATTCCATTTTACTATCTTATTTATTTATTAATGTAAAATCAATTTCAAATTCTCCCCTATTTAGGCGATTTAATTTGAAACAAATTCAATTTTCCAGTTCAATCTCAACCCAAGCTAAAATTTGAACAAATTTTCGAGCGATTAAGGATGCCGAGTTAAATTCGTTAAATTTATAGCCATGATATCATTAGAGCTGTTAACAATCCAATTTCGAGCTGAGCTGGAGTTAGCTTGAAATGACTTGACAAATAATACATCCAAACTTTTGGCTCGTGGTTGGGCTTGTTTATTTTGATCCGAGTCAAAATTCAAATCAATTTTCGAGCGATTAATTATCTTCAAGCAAAATTCATAGCTCTACTCCTTATCTTTAGTTTATAGTAAGAGAAATATTAGAAAAACATGTATATATTTTTAATGATGGCAGAAGTTTTGGCTCTCTCACCAAAGAAAAGACTAATTACATGCATATAGGGCTGTCAATTTGGCTCGTTGTTCGTGAACAACTCGTGTTCGGCTTGTTCGTTAAGCCTAACAAGCCGAACACGAACAACAGTTTGTTCGCTTGTGTTCGGCTCGAAATGGTTCGAAAAAAAAAAAATTATATAACTTTTTATATAACAATATATTACATATATTATTTATATAATAATATATTGTATATATTTATGTCTAAATTTAAATCATAACACCTCATGTGACAATGTGGTTAGTGTCTTTTTTTGTATTGATTTGATCCAGGTTCGAATCCCACACTTTACATCTATTTTTCTCAATTTTAGTTTAACGAATCAATTTCGAGCCGAACACGAATACAAATATTTAAATCGAGCTGAACACGAACTTACTGTTCACGAGCTGATTTCGAACACGAGTTATTTCGAACGAGCCGATTATGAGCCAATCCTGAGTTCACTCAAGCGCTACTTATTTAGAGCCCTACATGCATACCACAACATTTTATATTTACATACCTAACATCTATATACAAATAAGAAAATGTCCCTCGTGCCTCCAAACTTTACTGCTAACATTTAAAGTTTACTCTGTGCGGGTGAGATGGTGACATGAAGAAGGGCATGGTCCCAAGGAGATCCGTGGATGGTGATATGACACCAAGGATGCAGTTGCTTTTCTTATGCCTACCTTCCCTACATCTACATAGCTCTCCATTATATTTAATTGACAGAAGATTTGTAGCAACCCCATTATCTTCATTGAATATACTTGCGTGTACTTGTGTTGTTGGGTTATGTAAAGGTGGTTGGTGCTTGCATTAGTTGTATCCTTGGTTGCCTACAAAGCATGGGCATGTGGAATGGGGGTAGTGAAGACAAAATAAATCAAAGGGGAGCAAAGCATGGGGATGCACATAGGCTATGTTTAGAAATGTTTATTTTTTCTTTTAATAGCTTTTTCACTATAGTAATGTAAGCATTGAAAACTATTAAAGTTTTCTTTTGTATTTTTTAATTATAGGGGCTTGCTTTTATAAAACTATTACTTATTTTGCTTATGGGAATAATGGAGTTTTAAAAGCTTAATATTCTTTCATTAAGGTTAATGAATGTTCCAAACATATGCTTATCTTGCATTTGTTGTGAAATTTTTTGGCCTATATCACTAGATGGCATATAGGATTTTGTAGGATGAATGTTGAGTGAGTGTGAGAGAAGTGATTCTCTTTAGAAAGAACATATAGTTTTAATACTTTTTCATGTATTTTTTATGGTGCTTTGAAATAACAACAACAATATATACATTTATTTGATTCTAGATAAAATGTGGGTTTGAGATTAAATTAAAAAGAAAGTTTTTTTATGCACATTTTTTTGTTGTTGCTAAAAGTCTCCCTTTTTAGTGAACAATACTCATTCTGGATCATAAAGCATTGTAAATTTTGAGAAACATTGCTGAAAATATTTTTGTTAATTGTATTTTTTTCTCATTTACTGGACCATATTTAAGTAAATGACAAAGCTCTTCAACATCAATTACATAGGCACTAGATGACATCCTGACAGAAGATCAACCATTTTATGCTTAAAGACCATTTAAAGAAGAAGCCAAGAAAAAAAATATTGTATCATCTCTAAGATTTTTCCTGAAAATATACATGTTTAGTATTTATTGATCACTTGAGACTTTAGTAATGACGTAACTAAAAAGATGTCGACATAACCAAGCCTTGTTAGCTAGCTAAAGTAGTGGAAAATCACCATCTCTTAAAACCAGACAAGAGGATCGAAAAAGTTTCCATGGAGGCCTCTACCTTTTATTTGTAGCCACATAATGATTGAAAATTTTGACCACATATCAAATCACATTGGCATGTTGGATAACATTAAATTTGATAAAAAAAATCTATATAATAATTAGCTTTTAGTAAGATCGATAGTTTGCATCATGAGTGGTTGCTTTTAATCTGCTACACTTATTTCCACGAAAAACTTCTCATTCATTAAAATATCGCATAGTGCATAACACCCAAATCTCTTTCTAAGTCCTAAACCATTGGTTATCATATAAC